GAGAAAGTGAGAAGGAGAGAGAAAGAAGAGAAGAGGGGAGCAAGGAAGGAAGAAAGAGAGGGAGGGAGAGAAGTAGGAAAGTGAGGGTATGAGATAAGAGCATAGGGCAAGAATAACTACATAAATGGGAGGTCAGAAAAGACCCATCTAAGGAGGTGGAATTGTTCTAAGGCACATAGTAAACATTCAATAAATATTTGTCTGAATGAAGAAAGGAAGAAATGGGTGAATGAACGAATGAGCAAACTAGTTAACTTCCTCTCCAGACGCAGCCCCTCCTGGGCAGCCACCTGTCCTTACCTAATCTATTCCCCTGTGGTTAAACCTTGTGAGGATGCCAGGAAAATAGGAGAAATGGCAAACAGGCGGTGAGAGTACACTTGCCATGACCAGGACAAGGATGCTTACTATTGAGCACTTCCTATATGGCACACCGGGCACTGTGCAGGCCCTTGTCACTTACCAGTGGCTCTGACTGACAGGGAGAAGACCTGGCATCAAGTCCCAGCTCTGTGACTGCCTTGCTCTGTGACCTGGGGCAAATCACCTTCCCTTTCTAGGCCTCAGTCCCCTTATCCAATGCTACCCTAGCCGTCCAGGTTTCAATGGATTGATATTCTAGACAAGACAAGAAGCAAACAACTTGGAAAGTGGTTCCTGAAGCGATGTCTATCGAGTTGAGGTGCCCTTTGGAAGACAATGACCCCCATCTCCCAGGTTTGTCTCCTCCTCCTCCCCCACCCCATCTAGAGCAAATGGGCTCCTGTACACCGTGAATGGGGAGCTGGGAACCCTCATGATCCGGGTCCAGCCCCCTGACATGGCAGCTGTTCTGGGGGTGAGCAGGCAGGGGGGTGTTAATGATTGTCCCGTGTTATTGGCTACCCATCACTGCTCTCGGAGAATGCTCTGAGCCCTAGCCAGGGAGGTTTGGGTGGGAAATCGAGGTTAACAATTGTTCAGCTTGGGGGTATCTCGTTGCCCTGCTGAGCCCCTGGGAAGGAACAGGAGGGATTAAACATTAATGTAGGTTCTCCAGCAGAGGGGACCAGGGCCAGAACACGAGGAGCAGGGAGAAGGCAGGGGCTCTGCCAAGATCCCTGCCCTATCATCCCTCCCAAAGCGGGAGGAATCTGTGTGAGAGGGCATCTGATCCGGCCCCCAGTGCGAGGCCCAGGACCGGCCAAACCCGTGTTTGCACAGTGTGTCCCATCGCGGGACACTAATGGGTGTTCCAGGAGAGGGTGGGTGTAAAAGGAGTTCCAGGAGCCCCGGGTCTGTCCACAAAGTTTAGTAGGTGCCTTGCCTGCAGGGCTTCTCAGAAACTTGAACAGACTGGCATGCGTTGCCAGCCTTTCATGCAAATGTGCCAAATGGAGAAGTAAATGCACCCATGGACATCTAGGCCCTGTCCATTGGCGACCCCGAGCTTCCCTCAGAGCTGAGAAGGTGACTCAGCCCGGCTCTCCTTTCCCAGACAGGAAAAATGTCTGCAGAGGCCCAAGGGGTGCAGGAGCTGTCACTTGTGGTATCTCAGAAACTCATCTGTCCTCAGATCCATCCCCACCACACACACACACACACACACACACACACACACACACACACAGTCCCCTGTTCTCCCCGGGACATTTTTGGTATGTCAAAGAATGTACTTTGGGAAATAAAATGCTGAGCTATACCATGTTCGTGGGATACAGGAAGAAACTGACATTTAGGGAGGCCAGCTGTGGCCCCGGCACTGTGTAGGTGCTCATTACATGATTTATACTTTTCAAATGGTAATGTCCTCAATCCTTCCAACAACTTTCTGAAGCAAGTATTACAATTCCCACTTTGTACATAAGAAAACTGAGACTCAGAGACAGGGAGTAATCTGTCTTAGATCACACAGAGAACTAGTCTTAAAACCAGGGCGCAAGCCCAAATCTCCTGATCCTTGGCCTTGGGCCCCTGTCAATATCTCCTCTGGAGAGGGCCCTGGTGCAGAGGTACAGTGGATAGAAGCCTGGACTTCGGAGCTTGCCTGCCTGGTTCTAATCCCAGCTCTGCTGGATACTAGCTGTGTGACCATGAGCAAGTTATTTAACCTCTCGGTGCCCCAGTTTCCTCACTTGTAAGATGGAACTAATAACAGCACTACCTCATAGGGTTGTTGGAAGGATTAAATGAGTTAACATTTGCAAAGTGATTTAAACAACTGCAGGACACATGAGCACTATGTGTGTTTTGTTAAATAAATTCAGACCAGTCCAAAGCTATATCCCAGGTGGGCCAGCAGGTCCCTCCTGCCCAGCACCCCCCCTGCCCACAGTCCACGTCCTCCCGCACCTGGTCGTCCAGGGGAAGTTCGCAGAAAGCTGGGATGTACTTGGCCCACTCAACGAGCACCAGCAGCTGCTCCTTCATGGACTCGCACACGTCGGCAATGCTGGCGATCTTCTTTGCCCGGATGTCTCCGTTGATCCCAGAGACAGGGGAGGTGATCTGGGGGGAGGTGAAGGAAAATGCTGGGGATGGCTGGGCTGCCCCACACGCCCTGAACCCTGCAGAGGCCCCTCCTCAGGTAGTGTCCCTGTCTGGAAAAGGGGAGATGGACTGTGGGTGCCGCCTTGGCTCGGAGGAAGTTTAAGGGAAAATGGACAGAAGGAAGGATGCTGAAGAAGCCCTGCAACCTGCCCCTGCCTCCTCTTCCTCCAGCTCCTCAGAATCCCAAGGAACCCCTCAGCCCTAGGGGAGAAGCAGGGCAAAAACCCTCATCCTCATCTGATAGAGGAAGATCCCACAGCCCAGAGAGGTGCTGTGATTGGCCCGAGGTCAACAGCAAGAGGCTGACTGAGTCCCAGTTTGCTACTCTGTCCACTTGTTCGCTGCTCTGTTGTCCCGGGGCTAAGCTGATCGCAGGCCCTCAGTGAAGGCAGAGAGCTGCTTGGCCTGCACCATGTGGGCAGTGGGATGAACTAGAAAGTGCCCCCAATGCCAGGCCTGCGTCCCAGTTTTGTCTTTGCTACTAAATGGCTGTGTGACACTGGACTCAGCTTCCCTTCCGTGACATCTGAGGGTCCTTCTAGCTGCTGCTCCAGGGCTTGGCTGGGGAGGGCGGGGTGGAGGTGAGACTCCTCTTCAGTGTGTGGGGCCCAGGTGGGTGGAGCGGTCACCCCAGTACCTGCTGGGACAGGACCTCCGCCTGCAGGAGCGCATTGATGGAGGGCAGACTGCTGTCCTCATAGCTTGACCTGCGAGTGCTGATCCGGTCCCGCTCATTTTGGACGGCTGTGAAGACAGCAGAGAGAAGTGAGGAGGGAGGGCAGGGATACGGAGGAGGGGAGGGCTGTGGCATGACTGATGAGGAATGGGTGAGGTGCAAGGGGAGAGAGTTCAGCCCTGACAGAGTTTCTGCAGGGCTATCCTTCAGGGAAGGAGGCACAGTTGGAGGTGGGTGTAGGAGGGGTGCGTCCAGGGGACAGAGCCCAGATCAACTTGTGGAAAGGAAGGGAGACAGATTCTAACCCAGCTTGTTAGAACTCTCTAAATGCCAAAGCTGCCTCAACACAGTTCGGGGACTGCAGGAGTGACCCACCCATCCCTGGAGGCATGCAAGACAATGATGACTTGGCAGAGGGCTTAAGGTGAGTTTTGAGCATTGAAGAGGGGATCTGTCTAGATAACAGGTTTTCAAGCTCTGTTTTGCAAAAGGATCCATTTCTTTCCAGATGAAAGTGTGTAAAACAAGCAAAGTGAATTCCTCTGGGTGACAGGAGATGGCCCAGGGATTCCTGAACACTGAGGCAGAAGGCCTGGACAAGGGGATCGGGAGGCCCCGCCTGCCCTGGCAGTCTCGTCCATCAGCAGGAGCTGCAAGGGATCCAGGCTACCCTTCTCAGAGACAGCAAAGGTACGCTGTCCTCCCCCTGCCCACTGCTGGGCTCTCTCTCAGGAACTCAGAGATCTGGGGCCTGTGTCCACCAGGGCCCCGCACCCCACTGCGTGCCCCCTTCTGGGCCAGTCCTGGCCGGAGATATAAGGTGGACCTGCTGCCTTGGCCCTGTCCCTTGGACTCTGAGAAGCCTTCCTGTGCAATGAGGCTGGGCTGAAGCTGGAAGGAGGGAGGACGCAGTGGGAGGAGACCCGGTTCCTGGTCGGAACTGCCACTCGCTCTCTGTGTGCCAGTAGAAGTCACTTCCTTTCTCTGCGCCTCAGTTGCCCCACCTATCAGCTTTTGCTTCCCAGATTGTCTCCCATCTCAGAAACAGGCATCCTATTCCCCACTTCCAACCTGGGAGTCTTTCTCTCACATTCCAGCTCTACTCATGCCCCACATGTGTGAGTGGTCCCTACGGAATCCATCCTGGCTCCCACTCTGTCTGGGCCCTGACTTCTCGGCCCTGGAGTGGTCCCTTTGCTTCCAGCTTTGCCCCTACAGTCCACGCACCTCTCAGGTCATACCCCTCCACAGCTCATTCTGGACCAGTGCCTCCCTGTCTCCCTCGGCGTGAAGGCACAGCTCTTCCCTGTGGCCCTTTCTCTCTGATCCTCTTCACTACTCTGTCCCCCAAACTTGCCTCACTGCTCCTCTGACACACTCTGGTGCTGCTGTTCCCACTGCCTGGAATTCTCTCCCCTATAGCTTAGCGGCATCTTCATGTCACTCCTGTCCCCGTGCAAATGTCACCTTCTCAGAGGTACCCTCTCTGACCACTTGTCTGAGCGGCATTCCCCCCTCACACTCTGCCCTGCATCCTGCTTCCTTCTTCCTCTTGGCACTTATTGTAGAATCATATGTTCATTTCTTTACTCTCTGTCTCTCTCTGAGAAGAAAAGCTCCAGAAAGAACTCCCTCTTGTTCACTTCTATGGCCCCAGAGACTAGAACAGAGCCTGGCACATAGTAGGTGCTCAGTTAATATTTGTTGAGTGAATGATAAAAAGCTCTGTTTCTTGGGAGTACCCTAGGCCAGTGATGGCGAACCTATGGCACGTGTGTCAGATGTGACATGCGAACTCATTTTTTTGGTAGATTTTTCTTTGTTAAATGGCATTTAAATATATAAAATAAATATCAAAAATATGTCTTTGTTTTACTATGGTTGCAAATATCAAAAAATTTCTATATGTGACACGGCAGCAGAGTTAAGTTTGGGTTTTTTCAAAACTGCCACGCCGAGCTCAAAAGGTTCGCCATCACTACATCTTCAAGCCTCCTCTGGTTTCCTAGGCCTGGTGGCTCCAGATGGGAACAGCCATCCTAGGAAACTCATTAACTGCCCCACCCGCACTGCCCTAGGCCCTGTGTCTCAGTGGAACATTGACATCCCACCTATTCAACTGTCATCTCTGGATTTCACACATTGTTGAAATCAGAGAATGAAAGGCAGACAGTCAGTGGTTCTCAACCTTCTAATGCCGCGACCCTTTAATACAGTTCCTCATGTTGTGGTGACCCCCAACCATAAAATTATTTTCGTTGCTACTTCATAACTGTAATTTTGCTACTGTTATGAATTGTCCTCTAAATATCTGATATGCAGGATGTATTTTCAGGGGTCGCAACCCACAGGTTGAGAACCGCTGGAATGAAGCCAGGAGTCAGGGGGATAAAATACAAGTCCCAAGATAAGAAATCTCTCCGGAGACCCACCACCCTGCATGGGGCCAGCTCCCAGAACCACTCCCCAGCCTTAGTCCTGCCCCACCTGCCCTGCCCACACCCTCCCACAGAGGCTGCCCGCACCCACCAGGGCGCCAGGAGGAGGCAGGCTGAATAAAAGGGCTGCTGTCAGCAGCTGCGGATTGGGCTCCTCAAGGTTAGGCCGGCCTTATCAGTGCCCGGCGCGAGCTCAGTCACGGAATGATGTTTTCCAAATGTTTGCTCAGTATTAGCAGGGTCGGGGACCTAATGTAACTCCTATTGAATATTAACCAACCTGGGCAGAGGCAGAGAGGAGGATGAGCTTGTCTTCTCAGAGAACCCCTGGATGGGGCTACTAGAGGCTGAGCTGAGGTTCCAAGAAAGGGCCCACCACCAACCCATACCTCCTGCACCCCTGGCCCTGCTTCCTGGTTCTAGGTGTCCAATTCCAGGAGCCTGCATTTGTCCTAGGACCACCAAGTAAGTGTCGGGTTATAGGAAAGAATTCCTGACCTACTGTTAGGCCCCCTGGTCCCCAGGTTTCTCCCCAGAAAAACTTGCCACCCAGGGAACTCACTTTCGGCCACCATGGAATAAGCTCTGGCCAAGACTTACGGGGCTCTGAGATTTAGAGCCCTTCCCTGGGGTCAAGAGGAACTTTCAGGGATCTAGGCCCAAGATGATTCCCACGCTGGTCCCTCCCAGTTTCCATCCTGGGAGCTTGGTACCTGCCCAGCTCTGGGAGCCCGAGTTCTAGTCCTGACTCCACCCTTGAGTCAATCATGTCACTTCTCTTGCCTCAATTTCCCCATCTGTAAAGTGTATGAAGAAGTAGATTTGATAGCCTCATAGACACCTGTCTTGTCTATAAATTTTGTTTGCAGCCCATTTTAAAAAATATATGTCAAGTACACAACATTATAATTTGACGTCTGTATACTCTGCAAAGTGAGCTTCCTCAAAAGTCTAGTGACTATCCATCACCATATAACTCACCCTTCAGGGCTACTTTTGGGTTTAAATGACTGAGTTCTGCTAAGACCATCAGGAAAGAAAAATGAAAACTTGTCCCAGCTCTTCTGATCCCCGTGGCTTCCAAGAATGTCTCTTGGCTCTGGGAAGTTCTTACCAGGCTATAAAGCTTAGACAGAACTAGTAATAGCCTGACTTCCCAGAGCCTGACCACAGGGGCGACTGAACACTTTGCTGCCCTGGCCTATTCTCAAAGCAACCAAGGGACACGAGCACATGTCACAATCTTAACCCAGGTGTGTAAATAAGCACCAACATTTACTCGCCTACACTGACTTGCCATCAGCCAATTCTCCTATCCTCCTGACATGATGCCACCTTCCCAAGAAGCAATTTTCAAGGCTAAGCAAGGGCAGAATTGCCTGGTGCTCCCACCCCCCTTCTAGGAGCCAGGATGTGGGCCTGTGCCTCCTTGGCAGCTGAGGGGGAAGACCGGGAAACAAACACACAAGTCCCAGCACCTGTGGTGAGGCTCACAAAGCTGGGAGGGACCACTACCAACCCCCTCATCTTATAGAGTCCAGAAGGGGCAGAAACTTCCCTGAAGTGACACATGGGGAAAATGACTGAATGCTTAACAAGAGACACATACAATGGCAGATCAAAGCTGGACCAGGCCACATACAGCCCAGGAAGGCTGCTAACCTTCCCCCGCCCCACCCCCGCCTGTCACAAGGCCTGCGATTTTAACACGAGAGATTCATTCTCTTGAACCTAAAATCTTGACTGTGCGGTAATAGAACCACTGACTATTAGAACCATAGACTCTTAGGTCCTGAGACTATAGTTCTCAATCTTCCTCTTGTCATCAGCTGTTCATACATACAGGGGTGGGCAAAAGTAGGTTTACAGTTGTAAGTACGCAAAACAGTTTATTTTTGTATTGTTATCTATGATTGTATTATTACTACTACTACTACTATTAACCTACTTTTGCCTGCCTCTGTGTATCACATCCCCATCTGCAGCATTTCTCATTCCACAGAGTGGTTCCCAACTTGGAGGTGAGAGTGGGTGAGAGAGGCTCCACACCACCGAACACCAGGCAGGGAGAGGTGGGGGCATTCGCCCTCTGCAAAAGCTCCTTCCCCACTTTGAGAATCCCTGAGGTCTGGATGCTAGAATGATGTTGAGAGCAGGAGGGGGCTACTCCTTCATCAGGGTGAGCAGGCCCAGGTTTGCCACAGGACTCATGAGCTCACGCCAAGGCCCTATTAGGATGAGTCACAGAAGACAATTCCTAGGGAGGGAGCAGAGAAAACAAGGTCTCAGAGGCAAAGATGGGGAGGGGAGGTGACCACAGCTGAGCTCCTCTCCTCATTAGTCTCAGCAGGCTGGGTCCAAGGTTCCCGCTGTGGGATGGGATGGGGGTAGGAGGTGTGCAGGACTAGACCAGAGATCTAGCTGTGAGCTAGAAGTGAAGGCCTGGGGGCTAGTCCTAGAGCTGGGAAGTGCGAGTTGAGAGGAGAAAAAGATGAAGAGATTTGAAAATGGAAACTTATTTTTAGAAGCAGTTAAACGATTTTTGCTTCCTGAGCTTGGGTTGAGTGTTCCTGAGGTATGGAGGGCATAAAGCAAGCAACATGGAGGTGTTGTCCAAACAGCACTGAACTTGCGTTCAAAGCTCTGTGTTCAAACCCCACATTCTGCATTGACCAGCTCTGGGGCCTTCGGTAAGTTGCTGAGCCATTCTGGCCTCTGTTCCTTCATCTATAATAATAGTGCCACCACACACAGTTGTCATAAGAACAAAGGGAACTATCCATCATGGAAAAGCCCAGCCCAATGATTGGTGTCTGCTGGTATCAGGAGGTCTGGAGAGACCTCAATCAATGCACTGTGTCTTCCCCTTCTCCACTACCAGGACAAGTCCAGCTTCCTGCTCCCATTCCCTGGGATGGGAGAACTTGGACTCACCTGATACTCAAGCATGACAACTAAGGAACTGGGCACTTGTCCCTGGGACAGGAAGCTCAGGAGCAGAACTCCCCACCCCCTCATATTTGCTGAGTCTGGGTAGTACATGGACAATTGCAATATCATTCTCTAGTCTAGACCTTTCTTAATGTTTGAAATAGTAAAGAAAAAACACTGGACTTGGCTGCCTTGTGGTGGAGAAGGCAGGCAGGGGTGGTGGTGGCTGGGAACCCGCATAGACACAGTGGGCGCTTATCTTTTTGAATCGTTCTCAAGACCAAGCCCAGCCCCTCCCTATGGTCAGATTTCTAGGCCCTTCCTTCTCTCAGCCATTAGTTAGTCACCCTGGGGCCTGTTCCTGAGTCATAAAGTTGTGTCCCCAGTTGTAAATGACTGTGGGGAGCTGTGGTGCGGGTGGGGCGGTGGTGGCAGGGGGAGGGCCGAAGCTCACCTTCCTTCTTCATGCCAGCCCGGAAGCACTTCTTGAGCCTGCAGTAGCGGCACTGGTTCCTCTTGTCTTTGTCCACCACGCACTGCCGACTAAATCTGGGGAGGGCTTTGGATGGTTGGATGGAAAAGGGACAGCCCTCCCGCCCCCAAGACTGAACTAGAACCTGGGCCATCTGGTTGATCCCCAGCCTCTTGGCTGCAATAAACCCTTCATCCCAGAAGTTCTCATGTTAACCATAAAGAAAAGCTCAATGGAGTCCAACCCTATCTT